CCGAAAGTGGCTCTGCGGTATTTTGTCCCATTCTCGGCGAAGCGCTTGCTTGAGATGATCGACACTTTGGTATTTTTTAGTTCCAACCTTGCTTTCCAAAATACCCCAGGCACAATAGTCCAACGGATTGGCATCCGGAGATTTTGGTGGCCATTGTGCGGTGGAAATGAAGCGAGGAACCTCATTTCTTAACCATTCTTGGATGGCGCGTGCTGAGTGCGATGGTGCTGAGTCCTGTTGGAATGTCCAAGGTCTGCGGCCGAAATGTTTGCGTGCCCAGGGCTTCAGAACTCCCTCCAAAATATTTTCGCGATAGATTTGCGCATTTAATTTGACACCACGGTCGATGAATACGAGCGGCGAGCGACCATCGGCTGTTATGGCGGCCCACACCATCACCATGGCCGGCTTTTGAGTTGTGATGGCCAACCGAAGTTGCAAATTTTCAGCTGACCTCTCTGGCAAGTAAACACGATCATTTTGTTTGTTTACAAACTGCTGGATAACGAATGGTTTCTCATCGGAGAAAACCAAATTCGGCAGTTCACCACTTTCGGCCAAGCGAAACAACTCTTTAGCTTTTTCGAGTCTAACTTTTTTTTGCGCATCAGTAAGATCTTGCACTTTTTGGAACTTGAATGGCTTTAGTCCAAGCTCATTTTTCAATATTTGCCGAATGGCATATTGCGATATGTTCAGCTCACGAGCCATTTTTCGTCCACTGCGACGCGGATTTCGTTCAATTCGCTTTTTCACTTTTCGAACCATTTCTGCCGATGTTGCTGTTTTTTTTCGTCCACTTCCTTGACGTCGGGCTACGCTACCAGTATCATGGTAACGAGCGATGGTACGAGACACAAAACATTTATTCACTTCTAAATGCTGGAGGGCTCTAACGATAGCCACTTGTGGTTTTCCAGCCAAATGCAAAGCAATCACACTATCACGCTTGAATTCCATCACAAATAACTTTTTTTTTGAAAAATTCCCACCAAAATGCTTTTGTGCGCTTGTAAACAATATAATGAGCTGTCACTAGAATAAATCTGACAGCTGTGGGACGAGCGGTTTAGAAATGACAGCAGTCTGAAGTTGGTTGCAGTTTTTTCATCTCACCTTGTAGTTTACAATGTACATGTAAGTAGTTTTAAGATTTAAATACTTATAAGTCTTAACGACTACAAACTGTTAGTCTCGAAGAGGGACGATTCAATAACGAATAATTACAACTAAAACAATTTTTTTTAGATTAAATCAAATGGTTTCTTGGCATTTAAATAATTGTTGTAAGGTTGTTGTATAAAACACATGGAGGCTCTAAGCAAAAAAACGCTACAATTTGTATATTGTATTTATAGCTTTTAATATAAGATTTCAATAAAAGTAGAAGGGTCAGATATCAACTGAAAACCTATTAATTTTATATCTCCAAACAATATGTTGATAATATCACCTTCAGAAACTACAATTATCTGCTAACTCGGAATGCAGATTATGCCTCGAAGATGAGGAAACGGCCATGCACATTCTTTGTGACTGTCCAGCTTTAATAACGCACAGTAAAAACCTGTTTCATAAAGAATTGCTGTCACCAGAGCAGATTAAGAACTCTTCTCTATTATATCTTATTCACAAAGCTTTAAGGGGCTTTGTTTAATCAATAGTGAAACTGGTACAATAGGACTCTTCTGGCCGCAGTACCGACTGTTGGGCAATTTTCACGTCTACTTCTTATTATTATTATCTCCAAATAGTATATGATGGCACTATTAAGAACAATATTTGTTGGATTTTTTTTATTTTTTCTTGTTACTATTAATAAATTACGGCAATCTCGCGCTACTCCTAAACCTCAACTGAAACTCCTTTATACATATATTCAGAGTATTTCTCTGGGTCTAATTTCCTTAATTAATTATATCGGTTTATATATAATTGGTTAATACATAATAAAGTTCTGTGATGTCTTAACTGATTTTTTATTTGATATAAATTGTCTTTCGTAGTAGATCCGCTTAGGTAGAGTTAGAGTGGTGGCCTTGTATACCAAAATCTACGTGAGTACAAGAAATTACCCGTTGTGATACCGCTGGTAGATATATTGTTTATACGCTAAACGACTGAAATAGCTGAAACAGCTATAGAGACTATAGCTTGTCTGTGCATAGACAACGTCTAAAAAGGCATGACTTCCCAATACTCTATAAATTGCTTATATGTTTTTTCTCATATTAAAGGTTTTCTGTTTAAAAATAGAAGTAAAAAGTACTTTAGTACTTCAACTTGAAGAAATACCTTAAATACTTTCGTACTTTAGTTGAGAAACAAAAGTTCCTACTTTCAGGCCAAAATATGCAGTAATTCTGTGATGTATAATGCGACATTAATATTCAGCGCTTAACATAGAACATTAAATAATAACCCATATAGGATAGGAGTGTGCCTGCACACATAAGCGGCGGGCACGTTTTTATTAAAATATTAAAAATTCAAATTTAAATTTGAGTAAAAAATGTGTGCGCATAAATGACAGTAAAGATACAAAAACAACAACCAAAAAACAAATAAATTATATAAAAACACAAAAAAAAAATAGAAGAAAAAGAAGAAAAATTACAATCGTATTAGTGGTGGCAGTCGCATTAAATAATTTTTATTTTATTTTTTTCTTTTGTGGCGCATTTTGGTTAGCTAACGACTAGAATGACGTAGATACATTTCCAGATACAAACGTGCACATAAGTAGGAATACGGCGGAGACAGGATCGGAGACACAAACCGGCAGCAGCACATGAACTGCAATTGTAAATAAGCAGTAGTCAAGATAATGCCAGGACTCAGCAGAGTTTCAGCGATAGTACAATAGTTTAAGTGGTGTTGGCGATGGCGATGGGAATGACAATGGCAATAGCGTTGACGATAGCGATAGCGATGGCGATGGCGATGCGTTGGCCTGGCCATGGCGAATTGGATGAAGATACTGATGAGAATGGCATAGGGTTTGAATGTCACAGTAAGAGTTGTGCTGGTGTTTGTAATGGTTTTAGTAAAGTTGTGATAATATATAGCTAAGGGATTACACTAAGAAAGCAGCAGAACGCAACAAAAACAAAATTGGTTATTGCCAACGTTTTTGGTAATGCAATGGCGTTCTGGAATATTTTTTTATTGAAGTGAATGAGCGGTTTGTACTTATATTTGTACATTTCAAAA